GCCATCATCTTTAGCAAACTAAAGATGCAAGAATTGAAAAATAAAAATACATCAACATATTAAAACATCAGGACATTGACAAATACAATATAACAACAACATCATCAATAATCAATAATAATAATAATAATGGCCACTTACCATCTCTGAGGTAATATCCTCTTCTGTAGTTCCCTCAGGGACAGTTGCGCCTTGAACTAAGAACTTGTCCTTGCATATCATATCAGGAGGTGGCTCCCGTTGTGCTTGCATAGTTACTTCATATGCATATACATATTTGTGAAATCCATTAATGCAAGACTAAAGTACAAACATAAATTACTCATTTCTGAATGATTGTGAATTGACATCTGACTTGATTCTACCTCCAAGAAATTTTAACTGTCAAGGATGTCCTTGGATTTCTAAATAATAGATTTAGCAGTGTAATACTAATTATGCAATTATAGAACAAGCTGATCTAATCACACATAGCAGAGAATAGACATGACTTTTATATTACCGCCCAATTTTTTGATTATCCAAGGTAAAGCCTCTGTCTGGCATTTCTTAATAATAGATTTAGCAGGGCAATTATGCAATTGCAGAACAAGCAGAGCACGCCAGAACACTGTTTAAGCTTTAAACAGAGAGGTAGTCGCTTCAAAGAGCTGGGACACATTCTATTTAAGAGGGGTGTTCAAATATATATTGCTAGTTGAATTGATACACCCTTATATATAGGGTAAACAGGGATGGTACTATAACCTCGGTGAGGGCATTGGAGCAGTGTGTTAAGCATAAGAGCTGGCAAATATTAACATTTTCCCCCTTTACAGAGTATATCACTTGGGCAGATCATAAACTTTTAAGTAATACATTCTTTTTTAGGATATGTCATAATCATTAATACCCTTAACATTAATGAACAATTTGCAATCAGTTTAGTTTGGTACTCATAAATGAACTTCTTTCCAAGACAAGTGTTAACCATTAACACACTTATAATTGAGTTAATCTTCACCCCTATATATAGGGTAAACATAGATGATACTATAACCTCAGTGAGGGCATTGGAGCAGTGTGTTCAGCATAAGAGTTGGCGAATATTAACATCTTTTCCCCTTTACAGAGTATATCACTTGGGCAGATCATAAACCTTTAAGCAATACATTCTTTTTTGGATAAGTCATAATCATTAATACTCTTAAAATTAATGAACAATTTGCATTCAGTTTAGTTTGGTAATCATAAATGAACTTCTTTCAATCTTTCCAGGACAAGTGTTAACTATTAACACACTTAACACTAAGTTAATCTTCAAACTTGTATAAACCTACACATAAATAGAACATTCTAAGTTTTTCTACTAAAGTTTCTTTCATCACCATAGCACTCCACATATTTCTGAACTGGTGCTAGATCATTTTCCTCAGTACTGGAAGAAGAAATATTAAGCTCGAGACTACTCATCAAAAGAAAAAAAAAAATAAAAACAAAAAGCAATTATACTAAAGTAACTAAACTCTAGTTTAAATTTGATAACCAGATCAAAATGTTATAGAAAGGAATAGAGGTATTGAAGTTTCGGTAATTATTAAATCTCCTTTTTTGATGGCTAGATTAAAAATAAGAATTGAGTTAACAACCCAACAAAAAAAATGTAATTGACAAGACCAGGAACCCAGCAGAGATAGAAGAAGAGAATGAAGAATCAGAACATAGTTAACACCATCATCATCATCATTACTATTATAACAACAATAATATTATTAAGTAATTGAGGATTGAAGCAGCATGTGGATGTATACAAACTAAATGTCAAGTTAGTCTTCTCATCTGCAGGGTCCAACAGTATGCAATATGTATCATATGCACAGTTTACCCTTACCATCTCCTGTGTTTCTATGTATTATGCAAATAAAGAGAACAGTCACAGAAGTAGTGGGAGCATTTTAGACATCAAAGAATACTAGTAGACACAGCAAACACAATATACTTGAATCAGAATCACCTCTCATAAATTTTATCTTTCTATGTTGTTTAAATGCCAGTCTCATCGATCTCATGATCATAGCAGCATCCTCATTTTCTGAACTAAATTAATTGCATGGTATATTTCCTGTTGAAAACATCTCAGCTAATGTTTCATATCATTTTAAAGGTACTTCTATATGAAAAAGCCAGTTAGCATTTTGTATTGATTAGATGATTACAAGAAAAAGACACTAAGCAGAAGTTGCAGAGAACTTACTTGTAAAATCACAGGATGACTTAGGACTAAGGACCCCCGCATTTGGTCGGACAGAATATTTCTTCGGATTTGTAGTCTTGACCTGTCCAAATATCAATAAAGATGCTATAACTGAATACATCAAATTCTAAGTTCCAATATTAGTCCTTGGTTGAAGAAAAAATACCATTTACCTTAAAAGCAACATCCTTGTCAGACTTATTGGCAAGACGAATAGTGCATGTACTTTGCTTCTTTGATTCAACTACAGAAGGTAGGAGCCAATTGAAGAACACTAATTCCATGTTATTCATATTCATAGCAAAACTCAAAAACAATTAATGAAGAAGTCAAGAAGTAGGAGGTCACTTAGAGTATTCAAAAATTGTAAACTATCTCACAAGTGTTTGTGTACTGAATATCCATTAGCAACTCAACACAATCACTACTTTAAAAAAAAAAAAGAAAATAAACTAATATTCGAATGAAAAACCTTGCTAACATTGCTAGAACATATTGTCTAATCTCTTGAAAAAAGATAAAACAAAAGACTGAATGGAAAGCATACATGTGAATTTGACATCCCGGGGTATAATATCCAACAAATCAAAACTCATTGCTCCTTTATTCTCTTTGCATCCAGTAACACCAGTATTAGCAACTGTCCAATATAACTCTTAACTGCAAAGCAAACCAAAAACTTTTAAAGGAAAGACTATAATCTACACAACCATTGAAAATAAAAGGAAGAAGCAGATTTCACTCAGACATGGGAGATAACACAGATTAAGCAGGCATATGAATTCAACCCAATTTTATTGAATCAAAGGGCAGGAAACAGAAAGTTTTTTAAACGCCTATAGATATATGGATTCATCTTCTACTGTGTTACTACCTAATTAATGTGCGATCTTTAATTAATACCATATATTCCTATTATTCAAATACCAAATAATCTTGAGATACCGTATATTAAAGCACCGACACACATGAAAGTAGGCATACAAATAATGAAAATGGAATAAATTGAAGTAGGATATAAAACACAGAAATGTGTTCTTAATCTTGAAAACCTCAATGCAAAGACGACGCGTGTAGCTAACGGGAACTGGAATCAATAGCGATTGTCAATTGGGAAAGAATCGGATAAAGAGAACTGAATTCAATGCATTCCTTTTCAGAGAGCGATGAAATTAATGCGTGGAATCTTGGCAATTTTTTGAAAGATTGAACGCCAATTCACCGTCGCTTTCAGCGCCAATGCTCACACATGCGATCGATAAACCCTAAGCAATCCATATGTAATTGTGTATATATGAATGTACATGCGGAGAGAGAGTTCGTTTGGTGATCTGAAACACCGAGAGGCGAGAGTGAGACTCTGAAGGCGAGAGAGAGGGGGAAGTGAAAGCGAGGTTTACTTGTACGTTGAACCGTCGGTTTGATTGATAATTCAATTCAACCGCTACGAGCCTTCGACCGGCATTTTGTATTCATTTTTTTTTTCATATGTCATAATGCGTCTTATAATTTGTGTATAGCTAACTGTAATTTGTGTATTAGTATATATAATTATTAGTATATACTTACAGTTTACAATTTTACACATATAAATTAGTGTATATAGTTTAACTGTAATCTGCACATTATTAGTATATATAATTAGTGTATTAGTATATATTATTTTAGTATTTAGCTTTGGTTTACAGTTTACATATATAAATTAGTGTATTAGTTAAGTGTAATTAGTGAATTAGTATATATAATTAGTGTATTAGTATTATGTCAGTATTTAGTTTTAGTTTACAATTACAGTTTACATATATAAATTAGTGTATTAGTTAACTGTAATTAGTGAATTAGTATATATAATTAGTGTATTAGTATTAAGTTAGTATTTAGTTTTAGTTCACAATTACAGTTTATATATATAAATTAGTTAACTGTAATTAGTGTATTAGTATTATTTTAGTATACACTTATCACTTTATTATTTTAATTTTAATTTAAAACATTTAAAATTTGGCGGGCCCCGCCAAGGCCCGCGGGCTTATAGCGGGGCGGGGCGGTGCGGTCTCCTTTAGGCCCGTATTTTGGCGGGCTTTTTAGCCCGCCCCCGCCATATGGCGGGCTTCGGCAGGCCCCGCCCCGCTAGCCCGTTTCGACAGCTCTAATTGGAGTGTTGTTTGCTTTTAAAAAACAAAAAAAAAAACAAAAAAAAAAAAAAAACAAAAAAAATAAAAAAAGTTAACAGGCCCAACTTGGGCCTGTTTGGCCCATAAAGAAGGGCCTGTTTTCAACTTTAGGCCTAAGAACATTATAAATACGCAGTAAATGAAATAGACGGTTAATAAAAACTCCAAATTAATCCAGAGGATCAACGCGGGAGACCGAGAGCGGCGGCGCCGGAAATAGGTGCGGCGGCGTCGGAAATAGGTGCGGCGGCGTCGGAAATAGGTAACATTACGCTAGGAGATTGCGCTTCTAATTAGCTTGTTATATTTATATTTAGCTTCTATAATGAATCTTCTGCAATGAATTGATACATTTGAGCTAAATTTTGATGAATTAACTCTTAACAGATTATTATTGTTTTGGAATCTTGCATCTGAAAATCTTTGGTTTGAATTTGGAATTTAACATATGGTTGTTTCTAGCATGAATTTAGGTCTATTGCCTTGAAATCTTTGTGTGACTTCAAGCAACTCATTGAAGAGATCCGTTCTTGACTTCAAGTTTGGATCTCTCTTTAAATTTTTTTTTGTAAACATATTTCAATTCTTGCTACTAAAAAACGCAAATAATTGTTAAGTATAATATATATCCTTCATAATCTGTCCTCGTATCAGCATGGTTTCCATTGTAATGGTGAATAATTTTTTAATCCGTAGGATCTGCTTTCTCCTTGTCTCCTTGCTGCTTTCTCTTTCTCCTTGCCTTCTGCTGCAGCCAACTTTTTCTGGTAAGTGCTGCTGCTGAAAATGCATTTTTAATCTGTCCTCGTATCCGCATGGTTTCCATTGTAATGTTGAATGATTATTTTTATTTTTTTTTAATCCGTAGATCTTCTTTCTCCTTTGCTGCTTTCTCCTGCCCTCTTGCTGCTTTCTCCTGCCTTCTTGCTGCGCCAACTGATTCTTTTTCTGGTAAGTGTTCTGCTGAAAATGTCTTGGGTTATGTACTACAATCAATTAATCTTGTGAAGATTGTTTTCTTTCGGGCTGAAAATTACATACATCATCAATATATCTCTATATCGTTTAAGGATTCTAATTTTAGCAAATACATCATCACTTTGTTATTTTTTTTTGGCGATATATATAGTAGTAGATTTTATGTTTGGCTAATTGAAAGATATTTTCAAACGTTAAATCTTGAGATATTAAAAGATATTTAGTAAACTATTTTGGAATGGATCGGAGTATCATCAAATCTTTTCCAAATAGTATATTTTAGTACTAACAGATTGGATGATTTTTTTTATTTATTTTTTTTTCATTTCACTTTTGATCTCATAGTTATTGGATCATTTTCAGATTTAGTCCCTGATTGTTATTATTTTTCAAATTTGATCTATGACTATCTATGTAATTGAATATTCATCGAACTCTCTAACTAACATCCCAATCTACGCATTTGAACAGTTGAAATGGTGATTTGGATGTGTAGCACGTGCAAAACAAGGGTGGCATCTTTAAGTGCGTTGGTCCAGCACAAGAGGGCGTGCAGAATTATTAGGAGGAGGACAAAGATGATCCAGTACTACTTCGGATGTTTAATATTGTTGATTTTTTTTATTATTAGTATGTATAAATGGGTAGAGTATACTGGATGAGACTATAGTGGGGGTGTCTATGTGTATATGTGGTATGTTGGGTACGTGGTATGTGATAGTGGGGGTGTCCATGTGTATATGTGGTACGCTGGGTACGTGGTATGTGATAGTGGGGGTGTCTATGTGTATATGTGGTACGCTGGGTACGTGGTATGTGATAGTGGGGGTGTCCATGTGTATATGTGGTACGCTGGGTACGTGGTATGTGATAGTGGGGGTGTCTATGTGTATATGTGGTACGCTGGGTACGTGGTATGTGATAGTGGGGGTGTCCATGTGTATATGTGGTACGCTGGGTACGTGGTATGTGATAGTGGGGGTGTCTATGTGTATATGTGGTACGCTGGGTACGTGGTATGCGGTATGCTGGGTATGCGGTATGCGGTATGTGGGTATGTGTATATACTATCATAAATGATGATAAGAACATCTGAATTGTGCTATTATTGCATGATACGGTTGAATTTTATACTATTTGTTGTATCCACTTTATATTGTTGTTAGGTGTACTCCATAGATAAAACATAACTACTCAATTCTAAAATAAACTTCTAAACCAAATTAAAAAAAAAAAAAAAAACTAAATCCTAAACTCTCCCCAATTGGCTTATATTGGCTTACTTATTTTTTATTTCGAGCATATATATATATATATATATATATATATATATATATATATATATATATATATATATAATTTTTATAATTTATAATAATAATAATAATAATAATTTAAAAAAAAAAAAAAAAAAAAAAAAAAAAAAAAACGAAAGAAGGGAGCAGCACAAGCTGCTCCCCTCTTGTATTTCCACTTTTCCCACCGTCCCACATCGGTGGGAAAAGTGGAAATGGAGCCTTGAGGCTCCTATTTAAGGAGCCTCAAGGCTCCACAAATTTAATCGTTGCCCATCTGGGATGGGCAACATTGAGGGGCCATTTCGGCTCCTCAAATAAAGGTTTTAAAGTATTTTTTTTTTTTTAAATTAATAAACAGGGGCGTTTATTTTTCCCAAAACGCCAACCCCACTCCTAGTAGCGTTTGGGATTTCAGCGGTTTGGAGCAAACTGCTGATAACCAAACAAGTTTTTTTGGCGTTTCCGTCAAAACGCCAAAGTGGTGGATCTGTCAACCCCACTCTTAGTAGCGTTTGGGATTTCAGCGGTTTGGAGCAAACTGCTGATAACCAAACAAGTTTTTTTGGCGTTTTGACGGAAGTCAAAACGCCAAAGTGGTGGATCTGTCAAAATTTGACGGATCTGCCATTAACCAAACAAGGCCAACATGTATGTGAAAAAGGCTCCACCATCCAACAAGTATAATCCTTTTTGCACACATAAAGACTAGGATCTAACCTTAGATTAATTGTGCAATTCGTAATTTACCACTGCAGTAGCTCTAAGGACGAAGTTCTGAGTTTAGGATTAGTATTGAGATAGTATTAAAAAAAAAATAAAAAATTGTATCAATAGTTCTAAATAAGAACTTTTTATTTTTATTTTTTGAAAAAAAGTGTTAAATAGGGCACTAAATTTTTACATACATATATATATATATAATTACCTGCTTGACCACTGTTGAAGAAGATGATGTACAAGAGACCGACCGTCACATCTAGATCTAGAGGAAACTGATTTTTGGGAAGGCAGGCCGAAGATGAGATCTAGAGAGAATACTTGAGAGCAGTACGTGAGAGCCAGGCCGAAGATGAGATCTAGAGAGCAGTACGTGAGAGCCAGGCCGAAGATGAGATCTAGAGAGAATTACTTGAGAGCCAGGCCAAAGATGAGAGACCGGCAAAACCTAGAGAGAAGTAGTTGAGGAGGGAGGCTGTCAGACTATATATATATACAAACAAACGTGGCTAGCAGGGATTAATGTTTAGGTTTTAATTTTAATTTTTATTTTTTATTTTCTAAAGAGTTAATTAATGAAATTGGCTTTTGACTATAGCAATTTGATCTTTTGATTATTTTTTTTACTAATTAAGTCCCTCAATTTTAAAAATCTTAACTAATTTGATCTTTCGTTAGCTTTTCGGTTAAGGCTCTATTAACTTGTGACCAAATTGATAATTTTACTATAGTCAAGAGACCATTTTGATAACTAACTTTTGAATTAATTTTACTTTTGATCTCAAGATTTTTGAGGTCTTATAAATCCCATAGATCTATGGCTTGTTCTGCCCGTCTTTCTCATTAGTCTCATCGATCAAACACATATAGATATGATTTTACAGTGGTTTTGTTTAGATATTGAAGACATTTCCTTGAGATCAATATTTTACCCCTAAAAATATAAAATTTGACAATATTTTGTAGTCAATTTGATCGAAATGACCAAAACTGATAAAAGTAATAAAGTTAAGCACCAAAATTTAAAAATCTAAAGTTGTGCACCGAAAATGGTCCATTGACTATATCAAATTACCAATTTGGTCATGAGTTAATGGATGTCTAACGGAAAAACTAACGGAGGACTAAATTGGTTAAGATTTTTAAAGTTGAGGGACTTAATTGGTAATAAAAAAATTGTCAATGATCAAATTGGTAATTTCACTATATATAGTCAAGAAACCATTTTGATAATTAACTATTTTATAAACTAGACTAAATCTAAACCCTCCTTGTTTCTTCGTCGGGCCCGACAGAGCACCATAGAGGCTAGACCAGTGCTCACTGCGCACAAGGAGCCCCCCTCACTTTGAGAGGTGTCGCTGGTTAGACTCGATCCCTGATCATTCTTCCAAAGTTTCACCTCTATGACCAGTTGAGCTACCCATGCGGGCACCCTCATTGTTTCTTGTTTCTGGATGAGGTAATTGCAAATTGCCTTATTACTAATGATAGGATGAGGTCTCCCAATGACCCTATATTTTTTGTGGGATTCAAACTCTCGCACTGACAATGCTTTAAGTAATCCGTCGAATCAACTAAATTAGCCTCGTAAGACTTTTTCAAGTAAATTTTTGTCCTAATTAGTCCAGGTTTAGGTGTTTTTCTCGTAGGTTTTATATTTATATTTAGAACTAGTCTTTTTCTATGCGCGATGCGCAAAAACATATGCCAATTTTTTTTTTTAAATAACTAACAAATCTCTACTAATTAAAATCTATATGAAATCAAATTTATTTATTATAGTAATTCAATATATAATGTCTACAAATATTATCATCATTAAAGAATATAAAAATATATATATATAGTGGATACATGTGAATAGTAACAATAATAGGAAAGATAACGGAAATTATAATGTTTTTGTCCCAAAAAATTATATTGTACAACTCTAAAAGCACAATGTACAAAATGATTAGTATTAAAAACATGAACATAAATAAGAGATATAATTTTGATTGAGACTTATTATGTTTTATATTAAAATTAGAAATAAACTCTTTAATTTATTAAAATCGATCAAATATGTTTTATTTGGTTATCGGGTAAAATTATAATGACATGATAATAATGGTATGGTAATTGCCATTGACCATTGTTGATAACCACTTTTCACTGGCAACCGATGATTGTTCGTCAGCCGTCGATTACCACACCAAAATAACAAGTTAATAGAGCTTTTTCAAGTTTGGATTTTAATTGCTTTCAAATATGAAGTTAAATTGTCCATTTAACCCTTTTTTCTAATAATAATAAATTTGTTTGAATCAATTTAAGAAGAAAAAAACAAAGAATAAAATATAATATTCTCATTGCTCTTTTAAGAAGTAGTGGATAATCATATTTAAACAAGGTTAGAATGTACAAGTCAACTATCATGTACTCATGTAGGGTGATGTCATCTCATTACCATTTCAAATGAGTTATTAATTATTATAAGTTTGAACCCTATCGATGGTGGGAGCTTAAGTTCTTATAAAGAATTATGATTATTTAAAAAAAAAAGTTATATTTATAAAAGATAAATTAGATAAGAGTAAATACCTAAAATGGTCCCTCGACCATACCTAAATTCACAAATTGGTCCTCAACTTTCAATTTCAACCAATTAAGTCCTTAACTTTACAATTTTAACATAATTTGGTCATATGTCTATTTGATCGTTTGTTGATGAATTGAATCACATTTTAAAACCCAAAAAAAAAAAAAAAAAAAAAAAAAAAAAAAAAAAAAAAAAGAGAGAAAAGGAAATTATAATGGCATGTACTTTGTGTGGGCCTGCGTGCTTGTATTTTGGTATGCGAGCCGCTTCTTTATTTTCCTTATTTATCTTTCATGTACTATTACTTCATGTTGGAAATGAAAAGGAAAATGAAAAAAGAGATGAAAAAAGAAAAAAGAAAATGAAAAGAAAAAAGAAAAAAGAAAATGAAAAGAAAAAAGAAAAGAGAAAACGAGAAAAGAAAGAAAAGAATATGAGAGAAAGAATGAGTGGTAAAATGAGGGAATAGAGAAAGGAAAAGATAGAGTTGATGTGAGCTAAAAACAGAGAGTGTGTGAGGTGTTCTTGGAGGCTATGAAGTCTTGCTTGTCGGGACCGAGTCTCAACGTAAGGTGCTGGCGGTACAACATGGCACTAGTCCGGGCTGAACGGTGCACCGGGCAGGACTAGTCAAATCCGTTGACCTGGTCAGGCTTGTTGCTGGCCAATAGTAGCTGAGTTCCTTCTGGACTCCGGGGGGGGGGGGGGGGGGGGGGGGGGCACTTTTACTGGGATTTGCGGTTGTTCCCGTCAGCCTGTTAATACCTATACACTCACCTTGATATAACTGATGTTTGGATAGCTGGGGTCAAGGGAGCGAGATGTTTGTTTGTTCTATCTTGTTCCTATCTTTGCAGGTTTTGTTTCTTTGACCTCTGAGGCATTGACTGGTCTATAGGCTTCTTTGGTTCTGCCTTTGCAGGCATCTTTTAAGATAGACCAGGCCTCAACGTTGGTGCAAGCGGTAAGAAATTGCATCCTGGCCCGGGCTGAACGGTGGCCGGGTAGGGGTGTTTCAAATCCGTTGGCGGTAGTCCAGGCTTGCTACTGGCCCATAGTAGCTAATCCCGTTAGGGTTGGTTCTGGTTCATTGCTGGTGCTGATCGGGGGTTGATGCTATTGGCTGCCTTTGTTGCATCAGCCTGTGTGCTGAAGTTTTGGCCTGTGAGCTGCCCTATATTACTTGTGTTATCTCTTTGACTTAGGCCTATGGGCCGATATTTCTTATTTAGCCGGGGGCATGTGTATTGTTGCTTTGGTAACAGGGCAGTCAATAGCACCCCAGGAGATGCTGCGGTTGTCGTTGCAGCTCGGTCAGATTGCATTATAGTGCTGGGACTCTATGGGGCAGCTGGCTGGTAGGTGCTATAGCGCGTGACAAGCGAGGTGGCTGTTCCCCTTGCCACCCATCTACACGTGGTGGGCTGTGGTGCTCATATGCTACACTTGCATTTACATCTTCCGAGTAGTTGTGCAGTCTACTTATTACTTAGTAGCATTTTATTAGCATTTTTTAGTCTAGTTTATGGTCTAGTGTTAGTTATATGGCTAGCATGGGACTTAGGGCCACGCATGATATAGCTCCGGGGGCCTTCGTTTGTAATCTTTTTTATCTTCCTTAGATTAGTTTTGTTTGTATGATTTAGGCCATGTGTGGTCTAATCCTTTGAATTTCTTTTTGGCTTCGACCTTTCTTTTATTTGCTAATAAAGTATGTTTTTATTAAAAAAAAAAACGATATGATTGTGGCCATAATTCCAATAATTATCAAATTCACCATGGTCCACAGACATTTGTGGACCATAAAAAAATACATTTGTAATATACTAAGGGTACATAATTTATATACGCAAGGTATATTTTTTGAAAGTACTTTTTTAATATACCAAGTGTACATTATTTTATATAATATACCTTAAGTCTCAAAATAATGTACCTTAAGTACAAAAATAATATACATTTTAATATGTTTTTAATATACGGAGTATTAAAAATGTACATGATGCATCAATTGTTCACACAATTATGTGAACCATTGTCCACAACATAATTTGACCCATAATTCCAACATTTAAATGCATGCGACCATATGTTATAATTTTTTTTTCAGGCCAAGCCCAACTTTTACCTAAAAACTCTAGCCCAATTATATGCTAGCATACCGTGATTTCCCCATATGGTCATTCTAGACCAGTGTTGCAAAAATTGCGCCTAGGCGCTAAGCGGTGGGAGGCCGCCGTGAGGAATGGCATCGGCGGCCTTCTCCGCGGCCAGTCAGTTCGGCAGTTTGGCGATTTTTTTAATTTTTTTTTTGAAAATTTCAGAAAATGCTTCTTTAGCTCTTAATTTTAGTTATGAGTTTTTTTTTTTTTTTATAATGTATTTAGATGGTTTAAACAATCTTTTGAACAATTTTACAACCACTTTTGTAAATAGTTTCTAAGAAATAACTATGGAAACCTTATGTTTTAGTACTAAATTTTGAAAATTTTTAATTTAATTTTTTTAATTAAAAAATAAAAAAAATCGGCGCCTAGGGGCGCCTAATGTTTTTTGCAACATTGTTCTAAACTGATCTAGCAGCGGGGTTGCTCTCATCTCTACCTAACCTTATCTCTAACACTGTCTCCAAAAAATCCCAATTCCGATCGTAGACTTCCTCATCTGCCATTACAGCCTTGAGTTCTTTAATTAGTCGAAGATCTCAAACTTATTGTAAGGTCTTCATGATCGCTAACATCCGATGAGGGTTCAGTTTTGAAACCCTAACTGAGATGTGCGAATAATCAGTGGACTTGTAATTAGAGGATCTTCGTTTTTACTCCAAGATCTTTGTTTTGAGTCGTAGATCTGCGTTTTTATTGGTAATTTGAAGACTCTAACGTTGATTGATGATCTAGATTTTCAATTACTACTCTCTTTCACTACATAGGCTCTAAGATAAGTAAACTACACAAGTTTTTTTTTTTTTTTTTTTTTTGTTTTTTTTATAGATTCGCATTTTAATCTACTATTATGTCCGATTGTATACTATATCTGGGTTGAATATGATTTTCTTTCCTAATTCCAGATCAAGTAGAAGCCTCTGTACGGTGTTCATCACCATAGCTGGACATTCCAGACAGTTTTTTCGCAATCTTATCTAAGATGAGTGAAATAGATCATTTTTTTTTTCTCTAAATTCGTATCTTAGCATAGCGAACAAATTCGTACCATTTTTTATTTGTCTAGATAGTGAAATACACATTTTATTTGGTTATTATTATTCATATGATATTATTGACTCACCCAGTCATGCCTTATTTAATAGAAAGATGGGCAACGCAACACGTGATCAATAAAGGTAAAGAGGTCTAAAATTGTGCAAGGAAGTAACAGAACTGAGCTAGAGTGTAATTATTGAGTTGGAATCCTTAATTGTGACTAACAATTTTTGTCAATCGTTATGTCCTACACCACGGCGCACATAGCACTCTGTGCCGCGCGCCTTCCAAAACGACGTCGTTTTGAGAGGTGCGGTAGGAAGTTGCTGGGATTATGTGTATTTGTTCACACAATTATGTGTATTTATTCATATCATTATGTGTATTGGTTTATACAGTTATGTACATTTTTTATACAATTATGTACATCCGAATCAGAAAATTTTTGTGTATTATGTTAATAGTTGATGTGTATTACGTTAAAAGTTTATGTTTATTATGTATTATATTAGATTATGTGTATTATCTTTTAAAAAGAGTATGTATATTTTGTTATATAATTATGTACATTCAGGTACACAATTATGTATATTCTAGTATAACATTATGTATATTTTTAAACAGCGGAGTTTTTTTTTTAAGAAAAAATTACTGCCATTCACTGGGGCGTGAGATTTAAAAAAATAAATAAAATTAAAACGACGTCGTTTTGCATCTTGGTGCATAGTGCTACGCGCGCCGTGGTGTAAGATATAAATTGCCCAATTTTTGTAAGGCTTTGACAAATGATGAAGCAACATTTCTGATGCCATTATTGTACAGAGCAATTTAATGGATGGTAGATACTAATATTAAGATTCTGCTATCACATTCTGATAACTTCCTGACATTGTGATTAATTTTGTACATTGTTTTAATGTGAAATCTGAAGTCTTAATTATGTCCATTATTTGAACAGTAATTGTACCCATGCGATGCACGTACATATGATATAGTTGTAAAATTAATCGTAGTGATAAAATAAATACTATAATATACAAATTACATAATGAATATCAAATAAAATTAAAATTTTATTAAACATTATTGTTTTTATATATATATATATATATATATATGAATATATGATATTTTTAGTCGTATTTACAGATGTAAATTATCCCTACATAGAAATGTGTACATTTTGTGCAATACTGCTTATTATGATTATGATTAGGGCTTAAAATAAAATGCGAAACACATAAATCACTTATTATCTACAAATTTTATTGAAATCTTGGTCAAATTATTATTATATAGCTATATAATAGATAAAATATGCACACATATATGTGTATCAATCGTTATATCCTACACCACAGCGCGTGTAGCATTGCGCGCCGCGCGCTTTTCAAAACGATGTGGTTTTGGGGTCGTTTTGGGAGGCGCGGTAGGAAGTTGCTATGTATATTTGTTCACACAATTATGTATATTTGTTTATACAATTATGTATATTTGTTCATACAGTTATGTACATTTTTATACAATTATGTACATTCTTTTTATATAATTATGTACATTCAAATAAGAAAATTTGTGTGTATTATGTTAAGAGTTGATATGTATTATGTTAAAAGTTTATGTTTATTATGTATTATGTTAGATTATGTGTATTATCTTTTAAAAAGAGTATGTATATTTTGTTATATAATTATGTACATTCATGTATACAATTATGTGTATTCTAGTATAACATTATGTACATTTTTGAACAGGGGTTTTTTTTTAAAGAAAAAATAATTGCCATTCACTGGGGCGGGAAATTTAAAAAAAAAAATAATTAAAATGACGTCGTTTTGCATATGGGCGCAGAGTAATGTGCGCTGTGGTGTAGGATATAAATTGGCTATGTGTATGTACATATGTACATTTACTATAAATGCAACCGGATCAGGCCCTAAATGGAGTATTCATATAATTATTCAATGCTGAGCCCACAAACAATTTATACATACCCAATATATTGTGTCACTACATTTCAGCCCAAACCCGAGCGCAATACCTAATCTATTGTTTCACACTTTCACTACATTTCAGCCAAAACCCTAGCCCAATACCCGAAATATAACAACCCAGTACCCAAGCCCTTCCTTCCATTTCAGCCGTCAATTCGTCTACTCCCCACTCTTCGAGATTCTCCTCTCTCTCAAAACTACTCAGACGACATCTCGTACCTAAGGTGCTTCGGACGACTTGGTGGTTCAATGGAATCGCCACCGTCGAGCACCATCGAGCAGCTGGTTTAATGTTCCAAGCTTTTGGTTTCTTTACAACGGCGATTTCAACATTCTCAATATTCTGATATATTCATCGAGTACACCGGCGGTAGATCTGTTCGATCTATGAACAGATCGTGTTAAATATTGCTTATCCCAGCAGATAAGTGTCGTTTTCATTTATTGCTGATCTAATTTTTTCATATATATATATATATATATATATATATATATATATATATATATATATATATATATATATATATATATATATATATATATATATATATATATTGCTATTGTTTTCAGTCTAGGGTTAACTATTTCTACACTTCTCCGTACATCTCCAAATCAAATTTTTTAATCTGGGTATGTTCTTCCTGTGGAATATCAGCAACTCATAAGTGTTAATTTCCCAATCTTATTTCCCCTTTATAGTGGAGGAGTTTAATGCTCAATATACATATTTTAAAAACATTCTGCAGATGCCTGGAAATATAAGTATAGAATAGGCAAATGATGATCAAAATAGTCTGTCGAGTATGTAGGATAGCATACTCTAGGAGCCAAGTCTGGCCTAAAATAATCTGATGATTTTCTTCCTGCGGAATATCAGCAGTCTAAGGGTTAATTTACCAATCTTTTTTCCCCATGGGAGTGGAGCAGTTTAATGCCTTGTTTTTTTTTTGTTTTTTTTTTTTTTGTTTTTTTTGTTTTTTATATAGTCTGAATATGTAAAATATAAGAACTGAGTATTTTAAGATAACATACTCTGAGTATGTTCTGTCGCTTGGAAATATAATATATAAATTAGGCGGATGATGAAGAAAACAGTCTGATGCCATGTTTTTTTAAGTCTGAGTATGTAAAATATAACATATGCATTTTTTTGAGTATGTACTTCCTTAGTCATTTCAGCAGCTCTGAGTGTTTATTTCCCAGACTATTTTCCCCATTAGAATGGAGCATTTTAATGCTCAATATACATGTTTTTTAAACATTCATACTAAACTGGAAATATAACTATGCCAACTGTTTTTCTACATTAAGACCCATTCAAGTTCAATACTTTAGTTAAAAAAAAGCTGTATTTGAGTCATCTAGAAAAACTGATATAGCTTTTGCAGCTGTAAGTGTTCATTTCACAAAATACAGCTCCTACTAACACTATGATAACCAAACTTCAAACATAAAAATTAAAGTGCAAATGCTAAGTTTTGAAAATTATAAAAACCTCATATTTATATATGTATCCAAACTTCCATGAAACAAAATCCAACTTCATAATTCCAGAATCTTAAGAGTCTGAAGCCTTCAATAATCTGTCGAGTCCAAGAGTATGTCTTTAACCTGGCTTGAGGCACTTTAAAAAATTTGAATGAGCTGAAATAATGACTAAAGCAATAGGAAATAGAAATATAACAGTTAGGTTAAACAAACATAACAAATACTCAAAACATTCAAAAGTTTTCACAGTAATCAATCTCTTCATGAGATGCATAGGATGTTTTTTTGTCCAAGAACCATGTCAACCCAATAGTATAAAACATAAAATGTTTTTTTTTCAAGAATCACAGTCCCTCTATGCAAGTTTCTCGTTCCTGATAACCAAGGATAAATAAGAGATATATAAGTCCTAATTTAGGCTTTTAAAAAATCACCTGATTGTATTTGGATAGCAATGAAGTTGCTGAGATGCCCATGAGTCCTAATGGATGTATGCATTTTAAACAATATTATTATAAAAAGAAACGGCACCATTTACATGCTATGAGGAAAATGTAGCTTCCATCACAAACCTGCCTTCAACTCAGTTAAACTTAATAATAAAACAAAGTTTAGTAGTTTTTCAATTAAAAGACATTGATATCACTAAAATGTAAAATTATCTCCTTTTCACTCACAATCAATTTGAGTAAAATTTGAATTGCCTCCCTCCGTTTTGAACTTTTTGCATATCTCACCTCTACTAACCACAGGTTTGTCAAAAGAAATATTGCTTTTGCGGAAGAAAAGTAAAAATAATTTTATTATATAGATTGTAAGACTCACCGACCTTAATCTTCAGGCAACTATCTTATCCATACTCTTGAGTGTCTTTTTCTTCATGCAGCTCCACCATTTTGCATCGCAAAGCTTCTTTGAAAGCTCAACAAACGCTGGAAAGGTACCTATGTTTGAACTGTTCAACTGATGCTGCTCCTTCCCACCTCTGAGTCTGTTCAACTGATGCTGCAGCCATAAACATGTTTTGTGAAGTCTGAGTACCTATTTATAGTGTTGTTGGTTTATCCCCAACAATATTGGCTACAGTGTTTGTACTTCAAATGAATTGCTAGGTTTGTTTACAATTAGAACAGCTATATATAGAATAGGTAATTAATGCAAATCTTGTGGATACCAAAGAGTCCCAAAGGGGCATGATGTTTAATAAAAACATTTTGTCTTCTAAGAGCATCCACATTGGTTGGGAAGAATTGGGGGATAATGTAAGAGTTATTAGGAAAGAGAATGTGGGAGGGTAGATAAAAAAAAAGAAAAAACAAAACAAAAAAAAATTAAAAAAAAAAAAAGAATAAAGTGATCAGACGCGCCAGTCGCGACTGGCGCGCCTGACGCGCCACCGGGCGCGTGCAGTGCACGCGCCCGGCCTTCCTCTTGGACTGCGCGATACGCGCAGTCCGTGCGTTGCCTTGCTTCACCTTTTTTTTTTTTTTTTTTTTCCTCCTGCCATTCTCCCTTCATTTGCAGGAGAACTATTTTGCTATTCTTTCCTCCCCACATCAATTATTCTTTTCAACATGAGAGAATTCATCTTATATTATCCCCCATATTATGCATTGGTGTGGTTGCTCTAAGAGCATCCACATTAGTTGGGGAGATTTGGGAGATAATGTAAGAGTGATTAGGAAAGAGAATGTGGGAGGGGAGAGAAAAAAAAGAAAAAAAATAACGAAACAGAAATTAAAAAAAAAAATTAATAAAAACCTGGCACGTCAGGTGTGTACATTGCACGCACCCTTGTAGACATTGGCTGTGCGCAAACGCGCACAGCCAGTGTTGTTTTTTATTTTTCTTTTTTCTTTTTTTCTGACATTATCTTTGTATTTGCAGAACAAATTTTTTCACAAATAACCCCACCCCACATTTGTTATTAACCCCACCCAAGATAATTCATCTGACAATAAGTCAATAATATCCACTGATGTGGATGCTCTAAGGATTATATGGCAGTTGAACAGACTCTTTTTAAATTCAGTCATTTACAATAAATCTCATAATTAACGCATGCATCCCAAAAGTCAGGTTCCAAAACTAATTAAAAAAAATCGGAAAAAGAAAAACAAATTCTCAAAACTTTGGGTGGGAAAATTCACAAATCTGATTGGCTAATAAGTTATGGCTTTATTATATAGGAAGATGTGAAATAGAAGTGTTAGTCTTTAGTAGCTTAAATGTATCTGTTTGAAGTCTTACTTTGAATGTGAAATCAGTATTGTTTATTAAATTTTAAAAAGTCTAGGTATATGTTTCATTACAATAATACTTTTTTAGTAGATTATTTAAATCCAAACTGTTTGATATGTGAAATGATTTTTTTAGGTGCATGAAGATTATATTATATGTTTGTGTTTGAAGTCTGAATTGTAAGGTGAAATTAGAATTGTTACTCCTCTATTGTATATGAAAATGTAAACTACATTATCTTTTTACGAATTTGTATTGTGAACTAATTATTTTTTTGACTGTATACTTATACATTACAACTAATTGTAATGTGAAATCATAAAGTTTTGCTATTGTATCCATTTTTTTTTATGGTTAAGTAAATCAGTTTTATCAGTGTTTTGCAATAGAAAGTTTTGCTATTGTATCTGTGTTTTGCAATAGTGTTTCATAGTGAAAACTTCCAACTCTAACATAAACCTAACATAAACTTTCTGATGCCTTAGGTTATTATAGAGGTAGATTCATATAAGATCTACAGATTCTACTTTGTGAGAATGTTGGAACTTTAATAGGTTATATATGTAAGATACTTGTATAATTTGTTGCTTTATAATGTATGTGGAATTGTTGCAATTTTTTCAACTTGATGCTTGGTATATAATAGTACAATTAGAAAACATGTTAGTGATCCAAGCACCAAACCCTCTGATGTGTTTGACATTAGGAACTCCAATGTCATTCAATAAAAGTGATCCATGCACCAGATACATGTGCTCCACAACCTGTAAAAAAATAGAAAAGAGCAATAGGAAAAACAGTTTATTGATAATAACAATGTGCATTGAATTGTTAGTGTTTTGCCACTTTTAGTGAATAAAAGCCTTCAATTGGTACTTTCAATTGTTTGTTTATAATTGTGATTTTAACTGTGATTTTCTTAAGTAAATTAAAAGCATATAGTTTTTTTTTGTGACATTAGGGTTACATAACCTCACAAATAGTTTTTTTTTGTTTTGTTTTTTTTGTTTTGTTTTTTGTTTTTTATTTAATGTTTTATGTGCATTGAATTGTTAGTGTTTTGTCACCTTTATTTAGTGAAATAAAAGCCTTCAATCGGTGAGACAATTGAAGTCTACTCATGACATAGACTGTGAGACAGAATAAAAATACAGATATCATTATAATACTCTCCATTGAACATTATTATATCATAATCCTGCATTTTTAAAAAATCTCACTAAAAAAATTCAATGATAAAAAACCTAGTTGAAGAAAATAGTAAATGATATATGTGTATTTATGTGTTGCACTAGTTGCCTCGTTAAAAACCTTTAATTAAGAAACTTAATCAAAACTCAATCAAAGAAAAAAAAAAGTACAACGAACTTTTAGTTTTCAAAACCCAATTTTCAGTATTGATTTAAGTAAATGACAGTCTCAATGATGATAACAATCTTCAAATCTCACACATAAAAACATCTTTTCAAAAATAAGTGTAGAATTGAAAAGGATTTTGTGAACAAATCTGCTAGATTATCACTAGAGCGAATATTCTGTAATATTATCTTGTGACTATTCTAAACTCACGTGGGTTGATTTTTGACACTATATATATTAGTGAGGTCAGTGGGACTGGGAGGAAGCCTTATCCGCAGAAGGGTACAGGTCGAGCAAGGCATGGGACACTCCGTGGCCCTCAGGTGATATTCTTTCCTACAATTTGGTCCCTCTGTGTTTTTGAGTTGCTGTTATAAAAGAATACTAATAGCATTTGTTAATGGGCAATAGTTTCGTGGCGGTACAGCTATGCATGTTCCAAAGCCCCGAAGTCATGCTACTATCAAGCTGAACAAGAAGGTTTGTCGACTTGGCTTGAAGCTAGATTGCTTTGTCAGCTCGTGCAGCAGAGGGAAAGGCAAGTTTAAAGCCTCACAAGTATACGACTACACTGTTTAAATCATTATATGTTGCAGGGAATTTCAACTTAATAGCAAATGTTGTGCAATTTACAGCTCATGGTTTTTGAGGATATGGAACTACCTTCTCACACAAAACCAAGAACATTGTAAGCTATGGCCAGAAAATGGAGAATGCCAAAAAAGTTTTGCTTGTTGATGGTGGCCCTCAACGAAAACCTCAAGTTGGCCACTCAAAATATACATTATGGCAACGTTTTGCCTTCTATTGTAAGTATTAGAACTACATCGGTATCTTTGATGGTTTATACACACTTGTCTGCACTTGATACTTGGCTATTGGATCTAGCTTTTGAGTTAGATTTTTCTTCTTAATGCATAAATTGAATTAGTAAAAATCTTTTGATGATTCTCATGAATCTGTTCATGCACACAATGGCTAATTGAGCTTCTCTAGGTTGGAATGAGTGTAGATTTTTTCCGTGTTTCTTGAAAATAGATGACGAGACAGTAGAATATCTACTGCTATCATCGATTGAACTGCTTACGATTTTTGCACTGTGCAATTATCTGCAGCTGTGGTTGAGAACAATTATGAATATGCAGCAGACAAACTAAAGTTATTATTCTACATTGAACTGCTTTTAAAGAACCTTGTTCAACTGCTAATGAAAGATGATTATGTGGGAAGAATTGCATTGAACTGTTTCAGTGGCATTTTATTTTATTGGTGATCAGAAATGAATATATATATATATATATATGACAGGTATATTGTTTTCTGTTTTGAATAAAATGGTTGTGCTTTCCGTTTTGAGTTTTGACAAAATGGCAGTGTGTCCTATTTTGTGGTCTTGGCAAAACGAAATGGATAAAATTGTTTGTCCTTTTCCCTTTGCTAGTTTTTTTTTTGGGTCTTGGCAAAACGAAATGGATAAAATTGGTTGTCTTTTTCCCTTTGCTAGTTTTTTTTTTTTTGAATGTTACTGGCTTTATTACATTGTAGTATTTGTTTATATATTTTCTTAACCTACTAAAACACAAAGAATCAATAACGCGTCCATTGAGGTTTGAACTCGCAACGTTCCAAATAGAAGTCCAACCTGGTGAGTACCATTAGACCACATATTCTTGGTTACCCTTTGCTAGTTTATTGTTATTATTATCATTTGAAAAAAGTGTCAATTTGAGCATTAAGATTATAGCTTTTGTACAATTAGGCTACTGAACTTAAAATAAGTGGTAAACAAACCATTAAACAAATAAAACATATGCAATTGAACCATCATTAAACAACTAAAATATATACAATTGAGATATTTTTAAAATAAAAAATTCCAATACAATTTGAGTTTTAAATATTTTAATCGATTCAGCTATCACAATGGAGAAAATAAAAAATCTTTGTAAATACTATATTAGTAATATGAATAGATTTTATAAGAACAAAATTTAAAAAATATATCAATTGTACATATTTTGTATGTTTAATAACTTAATAGCACTTTTAAGTTTAATCGCTTAATTATCCAAAAGTTGTAAGTTTAATTACTTTGCCATTTTCTTTTCCTTATTTGTAAAAGATAGGCCCTTGCCTAGGTAGCATTTTACTTACAAAAACATTTTAAGCATTTTACTTACAAAAACATTTTATTGTATTAATGTAACAACTAGTTCTGCTGTAGCGCTGGCTAATTGGCAAAATTTTAAGATAAATCTTGGGTTCGAATCCCTGTAGTGGAATACAATTTTTGTGTTTTACTTTTCCTAAATTTCCTAGGTAGAGTCTTACTTACAAAAATATTTTATTGTATTATTGTAATAACTAGTTCCGTTGTAGCGCTGGCTAATTGTCAAATTTTCAAAATAATACCGGGTTCGTATTCTGGCAGCGGAATACATTTCCTAGGTAGCGTCTTACAAAAATATTTTATTGTATTCTTGTAACAACTGGTTAGCGCTGTTTAGTTGCCAAATTTCAAGATATATCCGGATTCGAATCCTGGTAGCAGAATTTATTTTTTAATTTAACAACTCTCCTTTAGTCCTTTTGCGCTTTTCACATAGAGATGACCATTGTACTTGATTAGAAAAAAAATTTATTTCACGTATTATCACCTTTCATTCTCAATTTTAAAAATAATTAAATAAATTGAGCGAGATTATATATACTTATCATAATCATATATCAAGATAATGATTTGACTAATCCCAAAATAAATAACAATTTGGGATGAAAACAAAGCTCGAGCCTCGAGCTAGCTAGCTAGAGTCCTGTGAACTAACCATGGTGTCATCCAGATGTCATGTGAAAACAAGACTACTCATCAGGAGATTAGAGACCATAGAAATTTGTTGATTTTATTTAGTTTGAATCTTAAAGAAGATAATAAATAATAAAAAATAATTCAATCAAATCTTGTATTTTTGAAATTTATATGCCAAACACCTTGTGTTCAATTAGTATATTTGTGACTCTCCTTAAGGGAAGGTCACATGATCGAAATATAGTTGATAGTACTTAAAAAAAAGTGTCTATTTTTTTTGGCTTTTTTTTAAGTATATAATTTAATTTGTTGAGTAGACAATTGAACTCATGATTTAAAAAAAAATTCATTTTGAAGTTTTGAAATGTAGTATATTTGATGGTTTTATTGGACTAGACCTATCATAAATTGGATAATCGAGGAGTATCTTAGCAATCGTTATACCGTGCACCAGGGCACACAATGCATTGTGCGCCCTGACCAAAATGACGTCGTTTTGATCATTCAGATTTTATATGTATTATGTTAAGAGTTTATATGTATTATGTTGCATCATTTGATGAAAGCACTCCAGTTCAGTCGCCTCCGATGATTGGTTTGTCAACCACGCAATATCGATCAACCATAAACTTTGCGTTTGTGGATGAAATCTCCCGAGAAGCGTTAGAATGGAACTGATCGAGTGACATTGCTTCTTTAGCCCGAACCAAGGAATCCCTTAGATATGATGCAAAACGGATCTTGTTCTATCCTTGAGAAGAGATTTCTCTATGACAAGAATATGTGTATTCTGATAAGAGTTTATGTGTATTATGTTAGATTATGTGTATTCTGTTATGAGTTTATGTGTATTATGTGTCATATTAGATTATGTGTATTATGTTATGAATTTATGTGTATTATGTTATGACTTTATGTGTATTATATATTATGTTAGATTATGTGTATTCTGTTATGAGTTTTTGTACATTCGAAATAGAGAGATTTTTTTTTTGAACTTAACATAGAAACGGAAACATGATTTTAAAAAAATGATCAAAACGATGTCGGTTTGGTCAGAATGCACAATGTATTGTGCGTCTTGGTGCACGGTATAATTTGCCGTATCTTAAGCAATGAATACAAGGAAATAAATAACATGAGACCGGACCCTATACGGCCTCTTTGGTCCATAATGGACTAAGTAGACGTGGCCAGAAGGCTCTGGCCCAAAAGCATAAGGCTTGGTCCGAGACCATTCTATTATAGAGTATGAGTTGCAAGACTGCTTTGCCTTGAATCAAGACTCGAAGACTGGAGTTCAATGAATTAATTATTGGTAAGATTAGGGCATTTAGGGGTACAAACCTCATAAAAGGGACCCTGACCCTCTTTCAAGATCGCAACTATTCTTTAGCAACACACCTCTTGAGGACTAAATTTCAGACCTAGTATGTTTTAGGTTTAGACAACTCTTATTGGACGGACTTGTTATTATTATTTTTATTTACTTTAATCCAGTTGTGAATATTTTCCGGACCTAGCTTCAAACTAACCCCAACTTTGAGAGGATGTAAATCATGGTGACTCAACTGAACATGAACCATAGAGGCTGGACCGGTGCTCACTGCGCACAAGAAGCCCCCCTCACTTTGAGAGGTTCGTTGTTCCAACACTGTCGCTGGTGAGACTCGATCCCTGGTCATTATTCCAAAGTTTCACCTCTATGACCAGTTGAGCTACCCATGCGGGCCCATATTTTTCTCTTGTTCTACCTATATTCGTTCCTAGTTTTATAATGGAGTCGGTTCCATAAAACTATCATTGAGTATTTTCGAATTTCCGCTACAACTTTTATCATTTTGTTTACATAATTATTTAGGGTTGAAATACGAATCATAAATTTATGGCCCGTTTGGTTCACGGAATAGGTCGGGAATGGCATAACATTCCCAGTAATAGGCCTATTCCGTTGTTTGGTAACCATTTTTATTACAAGGAATAATATTCCTGGTAGTAGCCTATTATCTCAAATAAGGTAATAGCTATTACTAGGGCCCCCCCTGGTATTAGCCTATTACTGAACGCTCAGGAATAGATTTTAGAATCTATTTCCTTTTTTACCCCTTTCTTTAACCTAATTTTTGTTCCTATATATAAATTTATCCTATTTCACCACCGTCGTTGCCACCACCATCACCACTGCCACCGCCGCCGTCGCCACCGCCACCACCACCATTGTAGTCGTCGCCACCACCACCACCGCCACAACCGTCGCCGCCCCCACCACTACCACTGCCACCATCGCCACCGCCGCCGCTGCCACCACCGCCACCCAGCAACACCACCACAATTGTCGCACCCCCACCACTGCCACAACCGTCACCCTCACCACCACCACCGCCACCCCCACCACTGCCACCCCCACCACTGTCACCACCACCACCACCACTACCTCCCTAGCACGACTACCACCCCAGCACCACCAGAACTGCCACCCAGCAGCACCACCGCCACCACCACCCCCGCCACAACTGTCGCCGCCCCCAACACCACTCACACAACCGTCACCGTCGCCGTCGCCACCCCCACCCCCACCGCTGCCGCCGCCACCGCCACCACCATCGCCACCACTGCCACCACCACCGTTGCCACAACCACCACCACTGCCACAACCGTCACCGTCGCCACCACTACCGCCACCCCACCACTGCCACCGCCACAACCACCACTACCACCCCAGCACTACC